ACTTTCAAAAATGCAATCTGGCACCCAATATCATGTCTCATTCAAACTTCACTAATTCACCTTGCCATGGGTATAGTTGATATATTTTCATGACATTATGGTATAGTGGTACTACCTATCATTATCTTTACATACTGCTATTCCATGACTTTTGGCACATCAGTGTATGAAGATATTTACTATTTTTGGACTGAACTCATGGGTGAAAGATTCACTAGTTTCCTTGTTAATTATTACTATATTTCACTCAGTGCAGGTATATACATTTCTACTAGTTTCATATTTTTTTCCACTTACCTTTTGTTTTAGCAATTTATTTAATTTACTCCTCCTTATCGCTGTAATCTTTATAACTATCATAAATATCTATATAGTTGTGTCCGTGTAGATTCTGCCAGCTGTCCAAATGAAAGCTGTTGTTTGTCAGTAAAGAAGAGGATTTTGTCTTGTTAAAATGATATCCCTACACATTGTCACTTCACTTCCACTCTTGTGGATGTTGCTGCCACTTTCAACTGGGTTTCTGCTAGAGAGGACATGTATTAAAGGGTCTAAAAGTAAGGATCTTAAAGTTATCATTGCAACAACTTATTTTGGACTTATTCATTTTTTGTCAAACAACATGTAAATACAATCAGAAAACATTAACGATAAGTTCTCTAAGATTGCATGCACATTTCATATACTAAATTTAACAACTATTATGGAACTTTATAATTTGTTTCAATCTCACATGTTATAAGCAATAAAATTTGCAAATATGCAGTAATAAACATTATACTAAGACATGTTTTAACTTGCTGAAATATTATTACTGTATGTTAATAGCTTTCATTTATGTCTTCCATAAAATGTGTAGTAATAGTGATTTATATAATATTAAGATATGTGGATTCCAAAGTTCTAAGACATCAGTTAATTTTTTTTTCATTGCATGAATCTCAGTTCTGTAAACCATTGGGGGGAAAAAACCCTCTTTATCTGCAAGTGATTCTCTTGTTTTTTGTTTTTTTTGTTTTTTTTTACATCCTGATTATTTTTTATTTTCTCTTGTAAAAATATTAGATAAGCTCAGTTTTTATTATTCACTTACTTTTCATGAACTATAAATAAGTATTTATTTACTAAAAAGAATCTCTCTGGTTTTCATATCCAATGATCCTGATCTCATTCTCCCAAATAATAATTCTACACTGGTTGAAATTAATTGACATGTTTGTTTTTCTGTCGTTTTATTCATTATTTTTAATTTTTCCTGTATTTTACTAAATATGGCTTTCAGTGCCTTGAAACAGAATATTGTTTATTTTGTATATTTTGAATGCTAACTTAAATTTCTGAGAATCTATCTAGAAATCTAAAGAAAAATGTTTTGGATGCATAACAAGAAAGTCACACAAAAGCAATCATACGCTATAATATTCTCACACAAATTATATATATATGTGTGTGTAATGTGTTCTAAAGATTTGCCTGAGTTTATAAACATATTAACAGATATTGATATTATTCATATTCTGATTGACATAAAAATAATATAAAATTAACACATTGGATTTTATTCTACTGGGAATAGTTATTAATCCTTACACAAAAGAATAAGCAAAATATTTTAGAAACTCAGTTTGCAAAATTCCCTTTTAAATCGTCTCTTTAACTATAAATCAGCTAAGCAACAAACATTTTACTTTACTGGAATTTTTACTTTTGTGTTGTTTGAGTTTCATTCATTAATCATGCTTCCAATGCATTCAACTTGTTAAACATTAGTATAATCTGTGGCATTCCAAATTTATGGAGAGACAATGCATCCATTCAAAGTTTGAAGAAATTAACAAATTCCAAGCCTAACTGAAAAAATGTTAATATTGCTTTATGCATGTAAGTGTATCATAATAATTCTATGTGGGATTCAGATGATAATGTATATTCTTAATATGTGTATGTCTAGTAGACATTATGTTTGGTGATGTTTTTCATGTTGATTTGGGATGTTAATACAGGCATATTATTTGTTTTAGATAAACATATGTTAGATTCTTTAAGAATGGTTTAAATAAAGGTTTTTGGTGCAATATAATGTTTTTGACAGGTGTTTAAAGTTTGTAATATTGTTATTAGCAATCCCTTGGAGTATTTTTTATGTAAATAATTATGTTCTTTTTTTGATTAGGGCGGCATTTGCAAAATCAAAGTTATGGCTAGTTTTGGTCTTGTATATTATGAGCAAGTTTGAATGGTTGTCTAAATATAAATCTCTTATGTTTGTAGATACAGGCTTTTAGATGTCTCTCCGATATAAATGCTTTTACATTGTAAGCAAATTATTTGATAAATACCAGCGTCTGTATTGGTGTTGGATTTATTTTTCTTCCTAGTTATATCTCTGAGTATCTTGGATGTAAAGATCCTAGTACCAAGGATGACTAATTTATTTACAGGTTTAGTAGAGTTTTAGAGGGTAGAATTATGAATTTTGTGTTATTTCAAGTAAGCGTGGTATATATCACTCTTTTCAAAGGGCACAAGAAATATATATATATATATATATATATATATATATAATTTACTGAAGCATTAATAGATATAGACAGTGTGGGCATAGGAATAAATGCTCCATAGTGACTTTTTTCATGCTATATATATATATATATATATATATATATATATATATATATATTATTGGAAAATACATACATATGCAAAATATATAAATACCCATAGACAAGAATTAAGCTTTAATGGAGAACCTGTAAATCAGAATAATAGCAAAACTAAGAACAGAAAAAGGAAGGTAATATGGTTCAACCCACCATATTGCAGACTCTCTAACATTGATATAGGAAGTTTCTTTCTGAAATTAATTGATAAACATTTCCACAGTAAGCATCCACTACGTAAAATTTTCAATAGGAAAACTCTAAAAATTAGTTACTCATGCATTAGAAATATAGAGAAAATCATATCTTCCCATAATTGCAGAATACTTAGAAACTGCCACGGTAATGGAACTCAATCTAGTAACCCTACCTGCAATTGTAGGAATAAAGACCATTGTCCAATCGGGGGTAAATGCAAGTATGAAAATGTAATATACGAGGCAACTATCTTTCCCGAGGAAAATATAAACGAGAAAAAAAGATACATAGGTATATCCGCCGGTGATTGGAAACAGCGTCTATACAACCATAGACACTCATTTAGATATAGATGCCTCGGTAGACAGACTTCCTTATCCAAACACTACTGGGAACTGGTGGATAAGGGATTAAACCCAATTTTGAAATGGAGATACCTATCTAGAGCCAGAACACCTAATAACTTCCGCGATCGGTGTGATTTATGCATGGCAGAAAAAATTTTCATTATCAAAGATAAGTATCAAGATGAGCTGCTGAATCTTCGGAATGAGATATTCTCTAAATGTAGACATAAGAAACGTTTCAAAACATGAACACCATTTTGTAACATGTTGTCACTTATGTCAGCTCCATCTTAGTCCAATAACATCCGACATGACATTTTAATGGAATGACTATTATGTTTATCTCTAAATGTATCATTGTGCACGTTTATGTGGCGTGTGTATGTATGTATGTATATGTGTATGAATGTGTGTATATGTAAAGGTGTATGTATGTGTGTGTATGTGTATATGTATGTGTGCATATATATATATATATATATGTGTGTGTGCATGTGTGCATACATGCATATACGTGTATACGTATGTGTGTGTGTGTATATATATATATATATATATATATATATATATATATATATATATATATATATATATATATATATATATATATGTATGTATGTATGAGTATATGCATGGGTGCATGTGTATGTGTATATGTATGTGAAAAGTGTGTGTATATGGATATAGATGGATATGTGAATATATTTTTATATATGTGTGTACACGTGTGTGTGTGTATATACATGTATATGTTATTGCGTGTATTCACATGTGTCTTTGAACATAGAAATATAGGTCCTTGCTGGATTAGACAATCGTTATATTTATCTTCATATATTTATATTCGATTTGTAACCTGTAGTCGATATTAATTTTGTCAAATTTTCTCAATTGCAAAGCAGCCCTTTAAGTAAACGCAATTTTACTTTCCTTCATCCCATCTCTCTCCCCCACCTCCTCTTTCCCTTCCCCTTCCTCTTATTCTAGCATTAAATTGTCTATGGTGTATGTATGTCACCACGAAATGTATCTTTATGCATTAGACATCCATCGACATTCATTCTCTTCTCTTATTTAAAACCCTTCCCCCCCACATCTCCTAAAATTCTCTCTGTTAAGGTTCAATCTCCCTCCTCCTCATATTTACACTTTCTCTAAATTCTGTTTTCACTTCCAGAGTGGGTTTTTTCTGTTTTCATTTTGAATTTATAGGTCTGATGAATTGGATCGTATTTACGATTCCAATGGAATAAATTATGACCATGGAGTATTAGTGTTTAAGCCTTTTTATTATATATATATATATTTATATATATATATAAAATAGAGAAAGAGAGGGGAGATTATGATGGCTCTCTGGAACTTTTTTCATTTCTCCCAAGCTTATTGTATTCAAATATGAATTAGAAAATGCCCTAAAATATTAACAAATCTCTTTGCTAAAATATGGAAAACTATGGTGACATAAGTTTTTGGCATGTTGTTAACTCTAAATGAATTGATATTGTTTTTTAGCCATGAATTAGTTGTTTTCCTTTAAATTTAAAAAATTTTTGTGGTCATACATATATATGCATACATGTGTGTGTGCGCACACACACTCACAAAATAAAATAATTAGTTAATAAAAAAGTTCATTAAAACATTAGAAATGGTGTTTGTAAAATAAATAAAGTTCTTTTTGTACATATTTGCATTAAAATATGTAGCTGAAAACTATTTTCATATTTTCTCAGGAGATTTTGTCTATAACCTGTTATGATGGCAATTTCCTTCTAACCATTTTCCTGTTCAGATGCATGTGGTCGAAAGCCTGCCAGACCCACTGCCACCACTACCACCACTACCCAAGCCACCACTGAGGTAACCACAATCTACACAGAAAGATGGCTGAATTGTTCCAGTGAAGAAATTCAGAAGACAGGATGTCTCAATGGAGGAAGGTGTTTCGCCATGCTCTTGGGAGGGACTCGGGTATCTGCCTGCCAGTAAGGCAACCCTTTATTTTCAATTTTTACTTTTTTCTTTAGCTATAAATGCTAACCTAATCAAACAATATAAATAATCATAACTTGAGATTATTCCTGTTGAAAATTTGAACTCTTTTTCTTTTTTTCTTTTCTTTTCTTTCTTCTTTGAGATAGATAATGTTTACATGAGGTGAAAATGCTTGAGCTTGTAGATAACTGCCAAAAATAAAATTGATATTCTTTGTTAGAAAGAATTATAACTTTTTAACTGAAAGGGTTAGGATAAACTGTATTTTTGTTGCTTAAAGTTATATCTAACCTTGTTATACAAAACTTTATAGATTTTAAGATTGCATAGCTTTATATAATGAATCTATCCAGTTCAATTAGGATTGCTTGAATTTAATGGCTTGTGCAGTTTTTTCCACATTAACCATGTAGTTTTGAAAGTCCTTTTTCAGATTAATCTAGTACTGTAACATGGATCTCTTGTTACTTTGACTTGATCCCTTGACGAATCCTTTTATCATTTATGTCCCTTTGCTCGCAATAAGTAGATGCAGTTAGAATCTTCATAAGCATTATTTTCCAAAATTATTTTACTTCAGTTATGGTGTTTGTTAATTACTTTACAAATTAGTAATTACTTTTAAGTTTTTAATGATCAAGTTTAGTAAGAATAATTTAAAAGCTGATTGTCCATTCTGATACTTGTGCTCAAATTCATTTGGAGAAAATATTTTACTTCTATTTTTAAATATTTTCAGGTTAACTGCATCATTGACAGATTTTTAAAGATAATTGTATTCAAAATCATTGAAATAATACACATTTTGATTGACCAGGTGTAAATGAGAACAAGAAGTTGTTTGAAAAGTTTTTATTTAAACATTTCAGAAAAATCTTTAAAAATATACTTTTTTTTATTACTTTTTCTATTAATTGTAAAACATGTAAATATTTGTTAATTCAAATGATGAAATTAACAATTTTTTCTCTCATTAAAATTAGGTGTCCTGCTTCTTACACAGGACGTAGATGTCAGGAAATTAACTATCTCCCAGGTAAGTGATTACTTTTTCGACTTTTCTATTCATTTCTGTTATCATATCCAGTGGTTAAAAAACAAAATATTTTTTCATACATATAATGCCTGTTTCTCTCTGAATCTGTTATAGTTTAATAATGAATGATAGAACATCTAATTGAAAACTAGGAGGTGTAGAATTTTATATTTGGCACTGGATTGGTTAGTATGACTATATAAGAAGGAAGAGTTAAAGATACTGAAACATCTACAATCACTATTTTCATCTGTTAAATACAGTATTCCAGTTAGCAGTAATTTTTTCCTAAGTTTCATCACTGTCTCCTTCAACTGGTAGGGAATCTAAGAAATTAATATAAATAATAAAAAATGTTATTAGTTAATAAAGTTGTAATTAATCTGAAATGATCTAAGGTGGCCAGTTTTTTGTCATTTCTTACTGAATGATGGTAAAAAGATGTTTATTTATCATTAACCATAAGAGAGAATTTTTAGAAATATTTAAAGGTTTCATAAGCTTTGAATATATTCACTGAATTACATATTTTTTAATTTATGTTAACAACTTTCATAAGCTCTGCTGACTCTTTCTCAAGCTTAAATCAGAGTATAAGGGATATAAATCAATTTGTACAAAGGTTTTCCTTGTACAGAGTTGTCATACACATAAACATGTATTCAGTTAACCACCTTGATACCTAAAGATATTTCCAGGTATTTCTGCTTCTTTTCTAGTCATGATAGGTTAAATCTATGACTGCCTGCTACAGAATTAATATAAATATAAAATTTATTTGAATCAACAAAATTATAAGGTTGAAATGCCATGTAATGAGTTGACTCACACAGTGTTGATGTCTATGATGGTGAAATTTCAATGCCCTTCACAATTTAGAGTGGCATAAAACAAGGATACATTTTAATACTGACTTTTTTTTTTTTTGCATCTTCTTTTCCATGCTACTGAGCTTCACATTCAAACAATCTGAAGGTGTATACTTCCACACAAGTAGCAATTGTAAACTGTTCTACTTTGCAAACCTTAGAGCAAAGACCAGGATGCACACAGCCCTCACCAAAGAAATTGAACAGCTCTTACCAAACCAAACATGATCTCCAACAACTGATTACACAGTTCAACCAAGCCTGTTAGTAAACTATTAACATAAAAAAACAAATATCATGAGTCAAGATATTCCTGCATCTCCATCAATCAGTATCAACAATGTGGTATTTATAGTCACAGATCAATTAGCATATCTGAACTCTACCATAACCAATAACTTGTCACTTTGCCTTCCATTTGACAAGTGCAGCACCAAAGCAGCAACAGTGATGATCAAATTGAGTAAGAGAGTATGGGACAAGTCAGCTTTCCCTGCACACCAAACTAAAAGTATTCCAGGCATGTGTCCTTAGTACTGTGCTTTATGGCAGCAAAATTTTGACAACATATGCCAAGCAGGAAAATTGCTTGGAAAGCTTCTATCTTATGAAAATCTTAGTAAAGAAATGCGTTCTCTAGCAGGGATTGAAGCCACATCCCCCTTTGTAAGAGAAACTACTATTAGATCTGGTGTGCTCTACCAATCAGCCATGAAGGATATTACAGCAAGCAAAGTTCTATTTTCCTTTTTAAAGGAAAGCAAATCCTCTTCACTCAGATTATTTTCTCAAAAGCATCATATCTACTCGGTTTCATGTCTGAAATGTAAACAAAGCAATTTCTAAAGAATTAATGAATTTATTTTGAATCCAAAATTTTTATTATTTCAAACATTATTATAATAGTATCCAGAATATTTTAAGAAATAAAAATGTTTTTCATGACTAGTAAAACATGCTGGATCAAATGGTGGTTTCCCCTATAAAAGGGGGTGCAAATTTGATCCCTGCCAGATTCCTTGAATACACAGACTGAGAAATAGTGTAATACACACAGTTTAATCAATATTAATGGCACATCTGTTTTAAATATGAAGTATCCACTGTAATAATGTTTAAAGTTATATATATATATATATATATATATATAAATAAGTGAACATTGAAGTCAACAGTCTGTTGACTCTGAATGTTGATTTGTAATGGATATTACACCCTATGTCTAGAAATCTTTAACTTCTTGGTAATTTATCTTTGAGAGTAGTCTTCTTTGAATAAAATTTCAATTTATGCCCTCACCTCAATGCTTAGCTGCTTTGATTTCACTTTTATATTTACATATGCTCTATCTTTGATATTGATCACTTTATCCCATAAATATAGCATACCTTAAAACTATATTTCTCCATATATATATACATACATATATATATCCACACACTTTTCTTTAAGAAACACTTTAAACAATATTTTAATATTTTTTAGAATAAAAGATAAAATCTCAGTAGCTACAGTGTATTAGTTTTTATTTTTCAGTTTTCTCCAGGCTCATCTTAATACCAAAATGTTTGAATTTGTCTGTCCACAATACATTTTGCTAAATTATGAATATTTTGTATGCACATTAACCCCATCTCAGTAGATTTTTTTTGAGATTATCAAAATTTTCAACTAAGTAAAATGTTAATAGAGGTTCTAAATGTTAACTCGGCACTGTCTCGTGTCGTAAAAAAAAAACATATGTAGCTGTCTCTGTTTGAAGAAAAAAAGATTGTGTTATTATGACAATATTGTCATAGTTTTTTTTTTTAATTTATTTTTTAATTTTGAAGTGATTTGCACAAAATGGTACAATCAAAGCAGCTAAGCATTGAGGTGAGGGCACAACTTGAAATTTTATTCAAAGAAGACTTCTCTCAAAGATAAATTACAAAGATAAAGATAAAGTTAAAGATTTCTGGACATGGGGTGCAATATTCATTACAAAGGCAAATAGAAACTGGTGCAAATGTTGACAGAAAATGAGCTGGAGTACAAAAAATGATAATTGCTGCTGAAGATAAACACTTGATGATTGCAAGTAAAAAAAAAAAGAAAAAATTGCTCCAGAATTGACAGCTGAACTTAACTCTTCTCGTCAGCAACCAGTGTTGCTCTCAACTGAAAATTCAACTTAGATCAGCAAGGGCACCAAGAAACCCTTGTTACTGAAGATGAATAAACAGGAAAGATTGTTATGGGCAAAAAAGCATACAAACTAGACATTGAAAGAGTGGTAAAAGGTATTGTCGACAGCTGCATTCAAATTTGAACTTTTTGATAGTAAGAGGAGAGTGTATGTGAGAAGAAAGCCAGGAAAAAGACTGATAAATGTGTGATTTCAACAGTTAAGCATGGTGGTGGGTCTGTTATGGTGTGTGGAGGGGAGAGTGCTGGAGATTTGATTCAGGTCAAGGGCATCATGAAAAAGGCAATATCATTTGATTTTGCAAAGACATGCTATACTATCTGGTTTATGAATAATTGGAAAGAAATCTATCTTTCAGCAGGACAATGATCCAAAACACTCTTTTAAACTATGTCAAAATTACACACTTCTAAATCATGTAAAAAAAGGAACAAAATTTTGGAAATTATGACTTAGCCACATCAATCTCCTGACCTGTCTCCCATTGAATTAGTATGGGATGAAGAGAGTTCAAAGAGAATACCCAAAGAGTGTGTGTGAGCTTTTTCAGTGCTTGGGAAGGTCTGCCATCTACTCTTTTTCAAAACTGTTGGAAAGAATGCCAAGAATTTGTAAAGCAGTAATTAAGGCAGATGGTGGGTTTATTGACAAAAACAAAATATGCTGTCATATGATAATTTTTTATAGTTAAATGCTTTTTTTTTTTTTTTTTTTTATACAAATACACTGTTTTTGTTGAAGTTTTATCTTTTACTTAAAAAAATACTAAAATATCTCATTTTAAGATTTTTTTTAAATAAATGCAGGCTGGCCCCAAACTTTTTGTCTGTAGTGTGTTGGGGATAAAAAATGGAAGTGAGAATACATGGAGAAGATTAATAAAAACACCAAATATTTTTATTCTAATACTCTTTGCAGAGAGGTGGAATATGTTCATTTTTCAAAAATCTCAACATTGTCAACTTGATCTGTTAGAAATATTGTTTTAAATTTTGTTTTTTTTACTCTTCACTAAAATATATAAAACATTTTTCTCTTACAGCTTTCATTTTCCATCATTTTTCTTCTGGTGAGATAGACTTCCTCCAAGTTCTCTTTCTGTCATTGCTATATATTCAAAGAAAGCTCAGCTTTACTAAAAATTCATTTTATTAGAGAATGGATTTAAAAAAATCTTTGCAAAATATTCTCTTTGTACATTTTGTTCTCCACCAACAATTTCAACTACTTTCTGTTACTGCCTAAATCTTCAACAAGGCTTTTTTCTATTTTGTAGAGTTATTTTGAAAAGTAATTAATCCATAAAAGAAAATAAACAATGATTTAATGTTAACTGTTTTTGTTTCCATGATTTTCAAAATAATTTCCCACTACAGGAAAAAGTCAATGTAAAGTGTTTGTATTTTAAGACTGAATTAAAATTCCCATGTCATTTTTTTGACAATTAATTCTGAATCTAATTTTCATACATAATCTAATAGATTCAACTCTATTGTTTGCAATGATTGCTTTAAGTACTTTTGTTTATATATATATATATATATATAATATATATATATATATATATGAATTAAATTAACATTAATTCCAATCTCACCCTTACAGTTGATTCTGTCTGTTTCTTAGACTGATTAATTTGTACATTAGTTTTTTAAATGTATATGACATAGAAGTTCATAACTACAAGAATCTTCTAAACTCTAACATAGATGTAAAATGCATGATTGTAAATTTTATCAAACAAAAGTGGAGGCCTGCTTGACCCAAAAAAAAGAAAACAATTCCATTCTAGATAATTAATTGAAGCAATGCTTGCAAATATTTTTCCATTTTTTTAAATATTTTCCACCAAAAAAAAGCTTTCTCATGAGTTAATTTCTGCTGTCTTCTTTTTCACTCAATACAATTATTGAAATTGTTTATAACTGCTTTTCAAGTGCAAA